GCCTGCTAGAGACATGGCCGACTCCTGCGCTGTTGCAGCTTAATAACTCCACAGCAGAGGAGAGCCAGGTTTTGATGAAGTTGTGCGAGAGCTGTCAGTCAAACACTGGCTGCATTAGCTGATGTGGAGCTCTTTGGTTTGTCTCCCTCTACTGAGCAGGCACACAGACCAAAACAAATCTTACATTCAAGCTATTTGGTAAAAAACGACTAAACAGAAGTGAAACTTCCTGATGTAGAAGAACAAAGAGATTCACAGTTATGCCTTCTGTCACAGTTGTTTTTGAAAAAGGTCTTTAAAGGTATTGCTGCTTGAATTGTTTTGGTTTGAAACTGCAGAGAACTGAGGTGAAATGGTGAAGTATTTTAACAAACCGATGAAAAATCAGTTAGCGTTTACAGTTTTGGCTTAGCTACTGTGACAGTTTAAATTATTTTTAGATATTTTCATGGTATTTACATGCTGTCAGCCTCCGTCGCTGGGTGTGCCGATATGATAACTGATTATTTGAATCTTATTCAAATTCCTACTATTTCATCCATCCATCCATCCATCATCTAAACCGCTTATCTTCTGGGTCGCGGTGGGGTGCTGGAGCCTATCCCAGCTGTCATTGGGCGGAAGGCAGGATACACCCTGGACAGGTCGCCAGTCCATCACAGCCTACTATTTCATTATTGCAAAAACTGAAAGTGTGCATCCCCCCTGCACAACGTACTTGTGGAGTTATAAGTTACAAATTGAAACATCACATTCATTTCTTTGCTTAGTAATAGAGAAATACTCTCATTTCCTTTGTGCATGTCTAACAGACTCATTTTCAAAGGTGAAAACACCATCCAAACTATGGCTTATTGTCCAAGATGAGAGAACATGGAAAAACAGCTTCGGAATGTTAACATTTTAGAGAACTTCCATGGCAACATAAAAAAGGGAGGGAAAATGAAAGTGTGACCCTGTATCTCAAAATGAGTTCTTTTAGTGCAAGTTCTGTGTTCACACTGAGAAATGAAACAGATGCAGTGTACTGTTAACAGTACTGAAGTGTACTTATGATGTAGTAGCTAACTATCGCTTGCTAATGCTAGCTAAATGCTAATAAAGGTGTGGTTTAACGATGTGAGATACTGTGCAGTAATTTGTCACTTCCATCGCCAGAAGACATTGATGTTTAAACTGTTCCAGGCTCTAGATGGTGAAGTAAACAGAATACAGTAGGGATGTGACGACACACAAAACTTAAAATTCAATATGATACAATATGGTGGTGTCTTGATACGGTACTTTTGTCATTACAGCAAAAAAACTGAATAAATAATGAATACGTGCTTTGTTTTCTCATGTTAATGTTAATATGTTAATGGTTGCATCATGCGCACGGCTTACATACATACTAGGTGTGTAATGATGCGCATGTTTTCTGTTTCCATATAATTTTCAAGAATCAATTCGATTTTGATATTATGTGTTTAAAAAGTCTTGATTCTACAGAAGTTAGTTAAGCTCAGATAAATAAAAGTTTTCAAACATCACTTTAAAACCTCCTCAGTTCCTGCCAGGCCATCCTCTGACAAAATAAGCCTCAAAAACCAAAATCCCTAAAATTTGTAAGCAGCTTCAAGAAAAAAGCCCAGTCATTTGAGAGTGGGTACCGGCATAACATTAGTACTGTCCCCTCCCCACCCACTTCACTCTCGTTGGATGCATCCAGACGACTAGCTTTGATCACTGACAGTAGTTTCCACAAAAGACGCACAGAGGAGACCGAGGGGCGTATCTGTGATAGTTTTAAAGTCAATACACTGTTTCAAATGAGATTTTTGATAGGTATTGAAATCGTTAAACCCCTTTAATAGTGTGCAAGAATGTACACAGTGCTTGAATTAGGACACAGGGAGAGAAAAAAGGGAGTGATGAAGGAAAGAAACAGAGAGAGAGAGAGAGAGAGAGAGAGAGAGAGAGAGAGAGAGAGAGAGAGAGGATGAAGTCAAATCAGGTGAAGCCTCTTTCTGTCACACATCCAAGTCGGGGCAAAGCACCCTCACATGCAACAAGCTTCTACAGCACCTCTCAATGCTGAGCATGTTACCAAGACACCCTTCTACCCCACACACAGAGCTGTACCTACTCCTACTCATACACACACTGACTTTACTATTAACAATAAAAACAACAGATATGTGCTGTTTTTTCAAATTGAATGAACATGCCATTATCAATATCACATAATCTCCCATCTCCTCACACTATTAATCAAGCAATCTACTGATTGTTTTTGGTGAGTAAGTGAGTAATCAAGGTTTCAAACAAAGCCAAACAATGGAAATGGACTTAACTGAACAATAACAAACCATGCATATCTTTTTTCAAATTTCCAAAGTACATCACTAAAGAATATAAACATTGAGGAAGATAAACTAAGAAGCCTTAAAAATGACTCCTTTAGATATAAATTAAAACACCGTATGTCAATTATGTAGCTTAGTTTCCAGATTTCGACTGGACTGGGGAGAGAATGGTACATTTTTAAAACTTTATCAGTGTTTACATGACATTTAAAAGTCCTTTATTTAAAAAAAGCAAGGGAATTTTTTTTTCCATAATATGGGTCCTATAAACATGTCTTTGAAGGGTACTTCCATTTACCCCTCTTTGTTAGCCAGTTTTTGTGATGTACATAGATTCAATTTCTCTTCTTGTGATACCCCTGATTTTACACAGAGCTCAGGTTCATTTGGAATTGAAAGGATGAAAAGCATTACAGAAGAGGAGACTGAGATGCACTTCTTGATAACTTGTTGTGCTTCTAGGACAGCATGAGCAAGGCATCAAACAGGCTAGTGAAATATTAATTTTCAAAGGCTTAACGTACACACAACAGATAAAACACTCAAATACATGTTGAAGGACCCTAGAAAAAAAGATTAAAGACAAGTATTTCTTAGACACAAGAAAGGCAATGACAGCTGGAAAAATTATACAAAGATGAAAAAATAAATAAATAATAAATAATAAATAAAACAATTACACCTCGTGGATGACTTTACAGTGAGAACGATTTGGTGCATCAAATCGATGTGATGGCCCTAATTATTAATAATAATAACGATAATAATAATAATAATAATAATAATAACAACAACACAACAACAACAACAGAAATGCAGGATAAATTACAGATCATTGTGCAAAAAACAAAGACACTCTGGGTTTTTTTTCTGGTGAAAAAAGAATATCCATATATTTCCAAAGAAGTGAAGCCTATTACACAGACATGCAGACGTGCATAATCAAACACCGGCACCCTCCTCATAAACTGCTGCTTCTAGAGGCATTTTTAAGACCTGTTCATTTTGAAAAGACATCTGTTGTTTACGCTATTTGTTGCTGGCGTGTGATCAAGGAATTAGGGCTGAGGTTGGAAGAGGATGAATGGGCATGCAGTACAACATTCTGCCAAATAGGGCACATGCACACACACTCCTCTTCCTCGCTCCTACACTTCAGGCACTATCTGATACCTGCCTTTGGCCATGTGAACGAATACTGCACACGACAGTGTATCTGGGTAGAAAATCAAAGAAGAAGCCACATATACACAGCGGACCAGATGTGATTGAATGAAATGAGAGGGAGAAACTCACGCATCTATACATTTCTTGTAGTGCCTGGAGTAAAGGCACAGCCCTTGTCAACATTTGCTATTTACTTCCTAGGGTCACAGTCAGCACTGACTAAAATATGTTACACCTACATCAGTAGGATAACATGAGGTGAATGTTCTTTTCCTGACTCCCAATAATTCAGTGGGTTAACATGAATGGAACAAAACCCACCATGAACAGAAATGATCGGAAATCAGAACGCGTTCTGCTTCCGTACTGTAATGTATTTGGGAGGGTCTCTAAGCTAACTTAGTGTGGGCTGGTGGCAGGGAGAGGTGAAACATGATATTATTGGCTAATGGTTAAGGTCTTTACATTTTGATAGACGATTACAGAAAAACAAGAATCTTGGTATAATATAATGAATTTTGGTTAATATAATCAGGGACATGAACTGACAAGGTGTATATATATATATATATATATATATATATATATATATAGCATAGAAAAGAAAAACAACAAAAAATGATAGATAACAGTATTTTATATAGTGCCAGAAACTACTTTAGCAAGTTTATTTTAGATCTATTTGAGAACAACTCAACGCAAGTGGGTGATGATGTAGACATGCAGTTTACATATGAGAAGCTTCCATTACTTGTTTTCTACATTAAACTTCATAGTTTCAGTGTAAAACTATACATCGTCACACTGCCTTAGAGTGGGAATGTAGCATTAGGAGCTGGGTCTACTTTTAGAGCAGTCGCGTGAACCTGTGAACCTGTGAAACGGGTTCGAACTCAAGGCTCCTGCAGAACTTAGAAGCTCTGCTAAGAAGCCAATTACAAAGCACAGACACATGCACAACTCAAAAGCCACTATCTTTAAATACTAGCCTGTAAAAATGTTTCGAACATGATGATGCTCACTCTCCTAGTGCTGTGTGTAAAATGTGTGAAGTAATGATGGCTTCTGTCACAACAAACCTGTAACATTTTAAGGAATTAAACATATATTTTATTGTTCTTGCTAACCTATGTTGAAAAAAAAATAGCTTCCTCTGAGTCATGTGAAGCCAGTCACCACATCTTTTCGAACTGCCGAAAACATAACGTCATTGAACAGTTAAACACGCTTGTTGGAGAACGTTAACTACCAGTTCTGTTATGTCAGCTAGAGAGGGAGGGCCAACTTAGCCACCCAAAAGGAGTGAGGCCAATTGTGCTCTCTTGAACTCCCAGCCACAGATGGGAGCATGACCGGGAACTGATCTTGTGATCCCCTAATGATCAGGCCAATGCTTAGACGTTTGTGCCACTCACTCATACGCATAATACTTCCATATGTCCATTTTGTGCAGCCCTACTTTAAAGTGCAACACAACATACTTACCCTCCTTCACTCTCTGCCTCCTCTGAGCTCTGCCCCTCAGCTCTAGTCACTCCGCTGGCTCTCTTCCTCCTCGTGGGTGTGGTTCTATTTAGAGGACTGGCCTTACAGGCCACGATCCTTCCCCTCAGCTCATCCCTCACATGGTCCTGAAGGTGTGGGAGAGTTTCCTTTAGAGCCTTCACCTCCTCTTTCAGCTCAGACACGCACTGGATCAGAGCTCCCAGCCGATCCAGCACCTCTGCCTGGCCCCCCTGCAGTGCCACACTGCCTGCATTGCTGCTGGTGTAAAGCCCTGGACGATAGGTGCCTGTCCCTGCACTGCTGGCCACAGCCCGTCGGCTCTGGTACCAGACGGCAGCCAGGCTGATCCCCGCTGCCCCAGCCAAAACCCCCAGAGCCAGGACCTTACCATCAGCCTGAGCCATCCTGCACAACACACAGAGACAGAGAAGCACTCGTCAACTCACTCATTTTGAACATAAGTTTACTCAGCAAGTTTGAAAGCCAAATTCTGAGCATAAATAATATGTCATATTCATTAATGTATTTAATATTTAAATGGTATAGTATCCTGACTGTGCTGGGTTCACTAAAGGTGCAAAAACGCAACGTAAAGCATTGTTCTGAATGTGCAAGTCAACTGCATTGATTATGGAATGTTATGATTATAACTGATCATTGTCTTCTTTTTTTGCCAAAATAAAAGCCATACATAAACTCAAATTTAAAATAAACTTCATAAATAAACTGAATTTGTGAGTATGTGTGAGTGTACTTTTAAAAATAATTCTGAATTGCAACAAAATCCAATCAAATTGTGGTGAAATGTGAGATTTTATAATGCACTGAATTTAGATGTGCCAGGAGAAGAACAAAAGAAAATGAACAAGACAGGCCAGTACCACAACAGTATGCAAATCTGCTATAATGCCTGATTGAAAGTTTCCTTCCTGCTTTATATGACTCAGCTAACAACTCCAAAACCATATTTACTTTCATCCATCAAACTACTTTCTCAAGAACTGAAACGTGGTTTCAAAGTGCCTGTCTCTGGTTAATAACAATTAATGTGTGTGGTTCACGTGTTACATAAGCAGGAGATAGTTAGACAGTAGATCTGATGAGCCGCATGGGAAACAGACAGCAAACCAGATACAAGGGGTTTTAAGCTTTTGCAAGCAAATCTGGTAAACCTAAAATCTACTACAGTGGATACAATAATAGCTCTTAAAGAATTTCCTACTTTAGAACTGAGTAACTGAAATGGACATTTAGACTACAATAGCCATCCATTTAGATGCTTTGCAATCAGTTATGAACGTGCAGAGTAAGCCTTTAAATCACAAAATATATTCCCTTATTATTCCCTTTTTCTCCCACATCCTTTCTAATCTTCTATTTGATATGTCTAAGCAAAACAATGGTGCATGTTAATTTTCACTTAAGATAAGCTTATATTCTCACTCACACACACACAAAACATTTATTCATTTTATTTTATTCTATTGGAAAAACATGCTATAGAAATACCTCTGACTAGTTGTGATACTGAAAAGGTATAACACTTTAAGGAGACATGATAAGTGGTCTATAATGCGCTTTGAAGAGACACCCATTGTTTATAGCCCTGTAGAAATACATGTTTTATTTCTCTATAATGATAATCGAGGGAGATGTAATCCCAATTTCTACATTTTCTAAATGTTTATATATCAGCATTGGCAGAGATATAAATGGAAAAATAATGGATAGCTGGTAGACTTTTAATATGCACCAGTCACAGTGAATTTAAAAACATTACTTTGAAAAACTACTTCCGAAAAAATAAGCCTCACCTCACTTCTAAAGCCAGTACTTGTCTCGGCACAAGTTATAACACACAGCATCCATATGTCAATGTAACATTGATCTTGAGGGACTGCAGTTAACTGTACCACTGTAACATTAACTGTACCACAGCAGGGTAAACACACAAGGTGATCTGATCTACGGACACAGAAGCACAGCAGATTATGAGACAATAACTAGAGACTTTGGAATTTATAATAGAGCTGGGCAATACGACAATGTTTATCATTATCATGATAAATTACATCACAATATGTCACGAAAGGCTTTTCTGATCGTATCATGGATCCCGTCAGTACTTAAAAAAACACTTCCCAACGTTTCATTAAAAAGAGGGCATAATTAGTCCTGTTTAATTAGATTTACTGATTTACGAATCTAATTACTTGTACAACATCTGAAATGTTGTACAAGTAACTAGATTCGTAAGTTCTGACAGCAGTTTTAAAACTTACTTTCTAACTTCTCAGATGTCACAAAAAATAAATGCTGTGATACAGCAGTTGTCGTAAAAAACTTCCTGCAGTATCGTGATATTACATTTTGTCATATTGTCCAACTCTATCCAGAAATGTTTTGGAAAAAAGCTTTTCAAGATCTTCAGAAGATGTGCTTAAATTTGTACTTTTCGTGCTTTATAATTCCAGACCTACAATCCTGCCTGGCCTTTCCCTCGTAATCTCCGTTTTGTGTGAGAGTCTAAAGTGAGTCTTAACCTACGTGCGTGAGGAAAGATTAATCCAGATTATCCACAGACCAGCCAGACAGGTAGCACTAGTTAGTACCAGACTAAGTAGCTGGGTATTTAAAGAACACACCTCCTTACGGTATGGTTCATACAGACATAATAAGCCAATCTGTTTACAAAGAGTTTGTTGTGTTTTGAAGTTTCACACTAAAATAACTGAGGAACATTAAATGTTTAGTTGCTACAGCACAGCTACACTACAGGGCTACAGCTAAAAGTAGCTAAGCTAACTACCAAACTGACCTTAGGACGGTCGTAGCGTGATTGCTACGAAATTGCAACATAGCGAATATACAATACTGTCGCCCTTAAACGCACAGAAAGTTAAAAAGAGCTGAAAGTCCCAGGCTGAACCTTACTGCTCACACGAGGAAACCTCCAGCGTCTGACCGTCTGACAGTCTGACAGCAACGAGTGCAACTTCAACAACAGTCCGTACTACGCGCTGCCTTTCTTGTACGCAGTAAAGGTTCCGTCGGACGGACAACAGCTTCTTATAACAGGCTAATGAAAACATGCAGACTACGCTTATGTTCATAATATCGCAAAAATATGGACATTAGCGTTCATGGTCTCCACATAACACTTAATCAGTCTTAGTGCCATGTTAAAATGAACGTCTCACTTTCAGTTTTGTTAAAGCTGTTTTGTTACCTTAAAAATCTGAGAATAGTTGGACACTTTCGGGAAAATTTCAAATAATAAAGTTAGTCTGACCCCCTTGCCTCTGTATGAATTATCAATCATATGACATAAAAAAATTGTTTTTTATTAGAAACTGAGAAAATGTTACACACCTTAGAATATGTTAATATATTGTATTATAATGTTGTAAATCACAATCACTGGTCATTTTATAACTTAACAATAATTGGCTGACAAAACTTAACATTTTAGAATATAGATAGATAGATAGATAGATAGAGATAGATAGATAGATAGCAAGTGGCAATAAGCTCCTGTGTCCCACTTTACCTGTTGTCTCACTTGATTTCAGCTAATGTGCCTTTTGAATAATGACTGAAAGTGAAATTCATTATTTGTTGTATAGAACTGATAATACAAACTCACAATAAGAAATGCAGCATTTGAGCCCCTATATCCATGAAAATAACCTGGTTTAAACTGAAGCTCCGTATATATTCACAAAGACAGTTAAATATGAGAGTTGAATCTCATCAGTTAAACATTTAAGCATAACTACTAAAGCAAAAAGGCAAAGTTCATTACAGTTCATTACTCATTAACTGGTGCCTGAGTCACACCATCGTGACTGAAACACAGACTTACAGCAATGGCAATAATCAAATTAAATCTTGTAAAAGTGCCTATAAATTGAAATAGAGAGCAACAAATAATGAAGTTGAATGATCCTTTCCTTTATCGTGTGTTATAGATAGTGTTATATTTTTGCAATCCATTTTCATAATGTCAAATGACGTACAGCTCACATAAAAAAATACAATGAAATTACAGTGTATACACATAGGTTACAGAAAAGTTAACACATCAAACACAACAGTAGAACAGCTCGAAAACTTACTTAAAAGGAGCAGATGATTGTGAGGTCCTTTGGAGCTCTTCACTCTCTTCTGAGTTAACCAGTATGCTGGGCTGCAGTCCATGAACACATGCATAATCTGATCAACCTTGAACTGTGCTGTCATTTCAGACAAGGCTGCTCTGACTGGCTGATAATGTGTTTCTTCAGGCCCTGAATCACATCTGCTAGATTTTATATTTCTGTAGGAATTTAAAGGGAAATTGAAATGTAAATGAAATTGAAATGATTGAAATGTAAACAAAGTCATTCAGCGTGGCTTAATGTGGAGTTCTCAGTTCTAGAGAAACGCACAGAGACAGAATTCACAGTGGTTTTGATAGGAACCAGACATCTGATACGTTAATGCCTCTAAAAGCTCCCTCAAAGAAAGTAATAACTTTGCGTTGCAAAGTTACATAAAAGTTGCATGAAATGGTTAGATATATGCTGCCTGATGCGTGACATATTGTTTCATGGTAGTTTTTTGATAAACCTTCTGGCTTAAAATGTCATTTTAAGGCAAAACAGTCCCCAGAAAACTTAATTTGACCAGATTATGACTATTTTACCATTATCATTTCATAGAAAAGCTCAGAAGGCCGATGTAGGTTCAGTGGTGGTTTTAGATAGTGAACAAAATGACTATATCTGTGTTGTAGACATGGTGACCCCTGGTTCCTATCACAACCACTGTAAAGAAATATGAGTCTGTGAGTTTCTTTACGATGAACCACTTCACATCAAACTACTGGAAAGACTCTTTTTACATCTCAATGGATGAATTATTCAGAAATGGTGACTTTAAAAGGAGAAGAGTGTGAATGGTGTTTGATAAAAATACAACCCCATTTCCAGAAAAGTTGGGACGCTGTGCAAAATGTAAATAAAAACAAAATGCAATGATGTGCAAATCATCTAAACCCTATATTTCATTGAAAATAATACAAAAACAACATATTAAATGTTGAAACTGACAAATTGTATTTTTTTTTTTAAATATATGCCCATTTTGAATTTGGTGCCAACAACAAAGTTGGGATGGGGGCAACAAAAGGCTGGTAAAGTTGTGTAATGCTAAAAAAAACACCAGGTGGTAAAAAAAAAGCATCACAGAGAGGCTGAGTCTTTCAGAAGTGAACATGGGGAGGGGTTCACCACTCTGTGAAAGACTGCACAATCAAATAGTGCAACAATTCAAGAACAACATTTCTCAACGTAAAATAGCAAAGAACTTGCTAACTACGATACATAATAACATCAAAAGATTCTGAGAATCTGGAGAAATCTCTGCATGCAAGGGACAAGGCCAAAAACCAGTATTTGCTGGCCATGATCTTTGGTCCCTCAGGCGGCACTGCATTAAAAACAGACATGATTCTGTAGTGGAAATCACAGCATGGGCTCAGGAACACTTATGAAAACCACTATCTGTGAACACAGTTCATCACTGCATCCACAAATGCAAGTTAAAACTCTAAAACACAAAGAAGAAACCAATATAAACAAGATCCAGAAATGCTGCCACCTTCTAGGGGCCCGAGGTCATTTAAAATGGACTGAGAGGAAGTGGAAAAGTGTCTTGTGGTCCAATGAATCTACATTAGAAATTATTTTTGGAAATCATGGACACTGTGTCCTCCGGCCTAAAGATCACTCAGCTTCTTATCAGTGCACAGTTCAAAAGCCAGTATTCATGATGGTATAAGGGTGCATTAGTGCACATGGCATGGGTGACATCCACATCTGTGAAGGCACCATTAACGCTGAATCATGTATATGTTTTGGCAACATATGCTGCCGTCCAGACGACGTCTTCTTCAGGGAAGGCCTTGATTATTTCAGCAAGACAATGTGAAACCACATTCTGCATGTATTACTGTATCAAAAGAGTTGCTAAACTGGCTTGCCTGTAGTCCAGATCTGTCACCCACTGAAAACATTTGCTGCATTATGAAATGAGAAATACGACGAAGGAGGTCACGAACTGTTGAGCAGCTGAAATCCTATATCAAACAAGAACGGGAAAACATTTCACCTTCAAAACTACAGCAGTGTCTCCTCAGTTCCCAAACGCTTACAGAGTGCTGTTAAAAGAAGAGGTGATTGGTCACAGCGGTAAACATGCCCCCGTCCCAACTTTTTTGGAACGTGTTGTTGGCATCAAATTCAAAATTGGCATAAATTTTTCAAAATATAATAAAATTTCTCAGTTTCAACATTTGATTTGTTGTCTTTGTACTATTTTCAATGAAATATGGGGTTTAGCTGATTTGCACATCATTGCATTTTGTTTTTATTTGTAGTTTGCACAGTGCCCCAACTTTTTTGGAAATGGAGTTGTACTTCAAATAATTTTATATGTCATCAAGGTGCTTTGTGAGGTAAGTATTATGATTGTTACTTGATGGTGTGAATGAGGAGCAGTTTGAGGCTGAGAGTTTGTCAGCTAGACTAAAAGATATACCAGTGAACACATGGGTAATGTTTGGTAAGAAGGTAGTAAATATTTATTTATTTATTTATAATATTTATTATATTAATATTTATATTGTTATTTATCATTTTTATTGGTTTACAAAATATCATTTGAAAGTCAAGTTTCATGATACTTAAGTGATATTTTATAGCACTCTCAAACTTGAACATCCAATATAATCATATAGTTTAAAAGTTATACAGTTATACAGTCACTGTACTTTGTTGCTGTCAGATTAAAGTCTCATAGCTCCATTTTTCATTCATGTTTTTTTTTTACATCATATAAAAATATCAACTGTGCTTTACACTAGGTGAGAATTTCATGATGAATGGACCTATAGAAATGGTTTAATATTACTTGGGAAAAATCAATTCAATTTTAAGTATGGTTTTCTTCTTTTGAAAAGTTTCCATTCTAAAGGTCCAAAGTTTTGCTCTGACACTGATGACTCATAACATCTCTCCAAAAACAAACATTTATCTAAAATGACTAATATTAATATATTCCTACCTTCAGGACTAATGGTTTTGGGGTACTCCTCTGTATGTAAACAGTGAATACTTGTACCCTTATATCTGAAAAACAATTATACCATGCAAAGAACCATTTAAACATGAAATGATTCCATGCAGAACTCATGATTCTAAATCAAAACATTGCCTTTTCTAAAGGACCCTTAAAGAACAATCTTTTTTAAGAGTGTAGTAGACAAGAAAACAATTTTACTTTTGTGGAAAAAGCTCCAACCACCTTCTTTAACTGCATGGGAAAAAACTGACAGGAAAATGTATTACTGGAACAGGTGTACTATTCCTTTAACCTAAAATGTGAATTATACTAATGTATGTCAATTCTCAAAGATGCACAGTTACTAAATATGCCTGCTTATTTGTTGAAAAGGATGAACAGTCCCCTGTACATAATAATTACAGTGAAAACATTAAAAAATTAAAAAGGTTAAAGAAAACAACTGTATGTTATATTTCATATATCTTACAAATTGTATGCTTATTTCTTCTGTCTTTAAAAAAATAGTGTTCTTTGACTGTATACACCTGATAAATGAAAAATAAGAATGTGATATGTTACTGTGATAAAAAAGTATGCATCTAAGAATCCACTAGTGCACAAAATACACAGACTATACAGACAGTGAGTAAAACAGTCAACAGAATGTGTAATATGATTAAGCAAAACTTTTCTTATTGCATACATTTGATTTGGTAACATTTAATTCAATTTTGTCCAAAGCTTTCGCTTACCAAACTGGTAATTTCTGTTTACCATTACGATAGTCTTCAAAATGGTACATAGAGTCATGTGCAAAAGTTTGAACACCCCTGGGTCAACTGACATGATGTGTTTATTTCATCACACACACACGTCATCTAAACCGCTTATCCTTCTGGGTCGTGGTGGGGTGCTGGAGCCTATCCCAACTGTCATTGGGCAGAAGGCAGGATACACCCCGGACAGGTCCCCAGTCCATCGCAGGGCAGATGTGTTGATTTTCTAAGTGAAAATAAATCGACACATCCCGTACAGAAAACACACTTCTGCACATTTTATTGCACCATTACTGTTTATTTGTTGAATTTAACATATCGAGAAAAAATAAACACAAAATGTATTTTTTCTAACATTTTTAACTCATCAAATAAATTTGCAGACATTTCCATATTTAAGTCTGTAGAGGATGGGTTAACTTACTTTCACTTAGAAAATCAACAAAACATGAGTGGACCAGGGGTGTTCAAACTTTTGCATATGTCTGTGTGTACAGTGGTGGAGTACTTCTAGTACATTTCTCTCTAGAGTCTATCATAAGAAAACTCACAGCACATGTGCTCAGGGACTGTGTTACTTAATCACAACGTCCTCCACAGAAACAAAAAGAAAGAAAGAAAAAAACAGTAGAGAAAAACACTCATCACACCGTTATCATCTGTCTGTCACAACATGCACTGAGAGCCGTTATCACTGCAACCATCTACCCACCGCACTTGCATTTCCCCCACACCACAGAGCACCCTCACTATCTGTTTGCTTTTCAAAGAACCCATTACTACATCAATAACTCAATGTGATGACTTTGGCAGATAGAGGTAGATGCAGAATGTTAGATTGCCCAAAGAGGTGCTCTCAACGAAGTGAAACCTAAAAGCATAAGGAGTTCTGAAATTTTATACAAAGCTGCGGGACCAACACTGTTATGCTGTGTATCCTGGGTCCAAAACATTTATTCTATACATCTATTTATATAGAGTTTGATACATTGGAGAAAAAAAAACTTAAAATACAAGGTGTGCTGTAACTTTTGCACATGGTCATATTTCATGTTTAATTTTTTCCATAATATATTAAATTTAGCAAATAAACAGTAATTGTGCATTATAATCTCAGAAGTGTGTTCTCTGTAGAGGATGTTTTAATTCATTTACATTTTGAAAATCAATAAAACAGAATCAAACCAGAAGCATCCAAATTTTTGCATATGACTGTACTGTACTGTGCAGAAGTGAAGCCATCTAAAAAAAAATCAGACGTTAGCAACAATTTTGCCATGGCCTTTTTAAACCTAAGGCATTAACAGAGATAGTAATG